TATATATATATATATAACTTTTTACTTATATACACAGTATAATTTTATGATAAAAAGGTCGATTAATACCCCTTGAACAAGGATAATTCCGCCACTACAATTATAACAGGTAGGAGTCTCATGTGTCTAACCTCACGTGTTCACAGACATCGCTTATGAAAAATCCTGCATACACCCCTGTTGTTAACAAGTTAAGATAATCTACTTTACTTTTCACGTTATTAATTTCACTATTGACTATGTAAAAAAAAATTTCTGCTGTCAGTGTAATTTAAATGCTAATTTTTTCGCTCTAAAATTACATTGTCAAAATATACGTACGACTATGATGTTAATTTAAATGCTAATCATGCATATGCATTGAAAGTTAGATAACTTGTTTTTCAAAACTATTAAATACTGTAGCAAAGTAATTGTACTAATGAAAGAACAAATATACACAACAGGAAGAAAAAAAGAAGAGGATATCGGCTTACAGCAGTTTAAATATTATTGTTGGCTCAATTTTTTGGAGAATTTTCTCTACATCATTTGAAATGAAATGAATGAATGTCTTGTAGGCTAAGGTAGCCAATAATTAAGAAAATAACGACAAATTATAGATTTGTCATGACATGGAATCATGATCATAAATAATTAAGATTGTATGTACACAGAGATAATTAGAGGATGACATTATTGGGCCCATGAATCATACTTGCCCTTAAAGATTCTTTAAAAATATGGAGCAAAATATTTCACTTGTTGTTGAAGCTCAATCAATTGAGCTACACAAGATATAAATACTTGGCAATGCTCTTTCGAAAAGTCAAGATTTCCCTTTGTGTCAAGCATTCTATGTGCCACGTAATTATGGTTATCCATTGACCCGACTAATTTAAATTTACATAGTGTAGGGCATGTTATTGGAAGAAAAGCTCCCTTATCATGTATTTCTGTATGTTCTCAGAACTAGGTCACCTATTTTGAGTTATGGACATACAAGGCCAAAATATGTGTGCCGGACGCGCGACCCATCAACCTGCTAGTGGTCTTCCTATTCCCTTCGCTTTCCCATCCGCTCCTTCTAAGGCTCAAGTACTTTTTTTGTTTGATCAAATGATTGATTTAGATTTATAATTCAAAGGCAGTCCGGTGCACTAAACTCCCGCTATGTGCGAGGTCCGAGGTCCGGAGAAGGGACGGACCACAAGAATCTATTATACATTTGAGTACTCAAATGAGATTTTTGGTTAAGGTAGAAGGGAATCCAACCACATCCCGTGGTTGTGCAAGTCTTGTAGCTCAAAAACGAAGTCGCATAACTTTAATGAATTTAAGTTATAGTATAAGTTAACAATATAATTTTTTATATTATTAGTCAATTTTAACCTATGATGGCAAGTTAATTACTCTATCATTTTAATTAAATTACTAACTAATATTTATCAAGAGACTTACTTATAATTACTCAATAATTGACCTGATAGTATAATTGTTTTTGTAATGCCAAATTGTTAATGCATAAAACTTAAACTCAATTTAGGGATTGTAAGGTTACACATTCTTTCTATATGTTTTTGGTACAACTTCTGAATTTTGCTTCGCATTAGTAAAAGATTTGCAATAAGGGGGTCTTGTATTTGATATACTTACTCTTAACAATCTGCAAATGTGCAGGTAATTAAGTGATACATTAAGGTGGGTGGGGGATATTATATCAAGTGGATGTAACTTTTTTTTTTTATTTTCCTGCATAATGGAGAAAGATAGATCAACTATTAATTTTTAATTAGCTAAACGAATATAATGAACTAAATCCAAGTTAAAGAACATCATGATTTATTCACTGTCATTTACCTGTGACCAATTTGATAGTCCACATTATCCAAAAGATATATTAAAAAATGGAGAAAGATAGATAAACTATTATCATGTAAAGGAGGGAGGCATATATTGATTACAAGTTAAAGAACATCATGTTTTATTCGCTATCATTTACCTGTGACCAATTTGTTAGTCTACATTATCCAAAAGATATTGCCACGACCCAATTCAATTCCCCTTCGTGTGACGTCGTGATGACATCTAGTCTCTACAACTAGGTAAGTCTAATATTTTTGTAGAATAATGAAATAAAATATAAATTTAACCAACTATTCAAAAATACGTAATAAATCCCAAAATTCGGAACATCGTGAATCACAAACTACAAAAGAAAAAATTTAGTGTCTCTATACATCATAATCTAACAAGGAAAATACAGAAGATAATGGACATGAGAAAGAGTAGAAGGGGACTCCGAGGTCTGCGGACGCGGCAGATATAACTTGAAATCTCCAAAACTGTCCCGACTCACTGATAGTGCGGCTGATAAGGTGCACCTGGATCTGCACACGAAAAACATGTGCAGAGAGTAGCATGAGTACACCACAATCAGTACCCAATAAGTGCCAAGCCTAACCTCGGTCGAGTAGTGACGAGGTCAGGTCAGGACCCTACTGGAAAATATCTAATAAAAATAATATAGAGTGTAATACCGCAATAAAATAAAGGTTAAAATTTAACAACAATAAAATCATAGAAGGTAACATCTCAGTACACAGAAAAACACAACAGGGGATCTCCCGAGATACTGTCTCGTAGTCCCAAACGTAAATGTGCAGAGGAAATTTTTCGGAATACCCTTCCGTAGTCTCAAAGTAAATATGTAAGACAGGGGGATCTCCCGAAATATCGTTTCGTAGTCCCAAAGTAAATATACAGTACAGGGGGATCTCTCAGAATACCATTATGTAGTCCCAAAGTAAATATGCAGTACAGGGGATCTCCCGGAATACCGTTCCGTAGTCCCAAAGTAAATATGCAGCGCGAACGATAGAAATACAACTACATCACAAAATTCTTACAATTTAGACTAAGTACCAGTTAGGGAAAAAAAGCAGAAAATTCACTAAGCATGCCGCACAGAATTCACATAAACAATTAAGACACGTAGACATGTTGTATTAGACTAAACATGATAGCTACACATATTGGAATAACTCAATTAAGAATGAAAATAGATTAGTACTCATTAAAATTGTATAACTCAAAATAATAGGAAAACATGTTGCTTCTCAGTAAGAAAATTGGGTTTTACCACAACTAGCTCGTGTACGTACTCGTCACCTCACGTATACGGCGCTCACATATCACAATAGTTCCAAATCTTAAGGGGATTTCCCCCACATAAAGTTAGGCAAGCTACTTGCCTCGATCCAAGCTCAATTAATCGGTCACAATGTCTTTCCCACGAATATCCGGCTCCGAATGGCCCAAATCTAGTCAAAAGCAATTACATATCATAGATACAACAATAATAGACTAATCTAATTAACGAAATTAATATTTTAACGAAAATTCTGAAATTAACTCAAAATCGTCCGTGGGGCCCACATCTCGCAACTCGACAAAAGCTATAGAATATGAACGCCCATCCAACCACGAGACCAATCATACAAATTTTACCAAAATCCGACATCAACTCAAACCTCAAATCTTCAATTAAAGTCTATGAAGATTTCTACTATTTTTAACCCAATCTTTACCCATTTGAACTTAACAATCTTTCCACAACCTTATTGGTATGTATACATAATACTCTTACACCCAAGAATCATACTATTAATCACCTATCTTTACTCCAAACCCGAAATTAAAAAATTGAGGAAAGAAATTCTTACCCCTTTGAAACCCTAGCAAAATACTTGTGAAATCTTCAAACCTTGAATAAGAAATTGATGGATAAATGACTAAGTTTTCACTTTTTCTCTCTAAAATGCTCTCACCTCTCTCTAAAATATCAGATGAAACCCTTCAAAATGACCCCCAATAGTTTTTATAAGAATAGGGTCGGGTTTATAAAACCAAAAAAATGAAGCTCTAGAACAGGTTCTGCGGTCGCATATGCGACCGTATAATGGTTATGCGGACCGCATATCAGTAGCATAATCGGTGTCCAATACTGGCAAACATCTGTCTGTGTATGCGGTCACTATGCGGCCCGCATACCTGTTCTGCGGTCGCATAGTGACCGCAGAACAGTTATGCGGTCGCATAGTCGACCGCAGATTTTATCCAAACTGGCCCTCTTCTGCCTCACTTTTGCGGCCATTATGCGGTCCGCAGAGTGATTATGCGGTCACACAATGGACCGCAGAAACGTATTTTTCCGCCAAAAAATTTTCTTTACTTCTCGGTGCATTGTTCAACCCAAAAGGTCCGAGCCGCGACAAGCTTTCTACAACCTTTGTACTAATTGATCTACCTCGAC